CCCCACCGACTATTTTTGTCCCTTGTTCTCACTGTGTTCGACTCGGTTCGCCGTTGAACTGGTGCGATGGGAAGCTATACAAGAAGAACAAGAGAACTGTTGAACTACCTTTAGCGAAAGACAGCTGGAAGATGCAATAATTCGACGTATTAAAAAAGTTAAAAGAAAACTAGCACTCAAGAAAGCTCCACAAGTTGGGTGATCATGTGCTAGTCAATGAAAATGAAAACTATGTCCGCAATCTCTCCAACCGAGTGATCACACAAGATGAAAAACAAGCCCCCATTAAAGGACATCAGCTTGAATTCGAATCAGTGGGAATCATCGACCAAGCCCGGCCAAAACATGCCAGAAAAATATTTGAGGCTTGGTTTTCTTCAATCAATTCAATAACCAGGCATATCGAATTGGATCACATGTACACGCCAATGCAACTCAAGGATCAAATGACGCAACAAAACAGGTCACGCCGTGACCTGAGGACGGACGGAAACTGCAGTCAGGACAAAAGGACAACCTCCTCCCCTCCCACCCTCAACCCCTCGCACCAGTTCAACGGCGAACCGAGTCGAACACAGTGAGAACAAGGGACAAAAATAGTCGGTGGGGAAGAACACATATATAAACCAACGGATACAAGCAGAACACTGCCACTACACAAGCACTGATGATATCACCTCGGCTGGTGATGAAACGTTTGCGAACAAATTGCCAAGCTCAGCGAACAGGCAAAATGGAAGTCAGTTCACCCGAGCTACGAAAACCGATTTTCAATACTTTTTTAAGTCATCGCGATTGACTCACTGTGTTAGTTTGAACTTTTGCACTACTCCGGTTTGCGGTGTATTAACTCGTTCAATAAGTTTCTGAGTACTTTGCGTACAAAAATCGCTGTATCAAGTGGTAGTGGGTAGAAGTCGAAAAGAATAGGGATAAGTGTCCGGCGGAGTGTTTATGGAATAGGGTCTGAATACTTTCTGATAGGTTGGACCTGGGACCAAGTCGGTATGTCTAGGCGAAGTCGTGAGAACCATTGGTCACAATCAGATGAGACGAATATATTGAAGTCGAGCTGAGGGAGCCAATGGTGTGTCGCCACCAGGGGATATCAGAGGAAGCGCTTCAAAATGTGGGAGACCATTCCTACAGGTGACCGGTGTCATTCACATAAAACTAAGACGGAAATTTTTGACTNTTTTGACTTTGCAAAAGGTTTATATGAAAAAGCGTTCAATTTCTTCTCCGTCATCCTCAGCTTAACTAAGTTTAAAACTAGAAAATGCTGTAGTGTCTGAAAAACTGTTTGATATATATTACTGAAAGCTGTTGGCAGTTTGATCGATCATTTGGGCATTACTGTGTCTAGCACAATCGGTAGGTTGCAAGTGGGGATAAACAATACCTTGTAGTCTTCCAAACGGCGAAAGTTACCATCGATCTTTGTCTCCTAACAAGTAGTGAATTCAGATTGCGGTTTTTTGCTTGATGTTGAGATGTAAATCAGGCATGTTACACGATTTAAAACTACTCACTGTTTCTAATGCGCAGTCTACAAAATAAAGCACAGGAAATGTGTACAAACTGACTCTCAAATGCAGCACCACTGCGAATTGAGGAGAAACAACTTACAGCTTCATCTAAGTTGATATATCAAAGACCATCACATAACCTCATTTCTACAAGGTTTAAGATGCCCTCACTTAGACAAAACATCTCCTTTTCCATAATCATTTTGAGGTAGTTTTCTTGAGAGGGTTTGGTTTGGTTGGGAGACTGCGATTACGCGGAACAACTCTCACAGTCTTTGACTGAATTGCATGAGTTCGAAATGAATTGTTCTAGCCATCAATGGTAAAAAACATGCACGATTACGAGGTGATCACACTGCGCTCCATTCATTCTACTCATCCTCCAGTCACCTAAGAAGGCATTTCCGATCGACGGGACGTAATTAGGAAGTTCAGTATATGGCTTTCTTTAAATGCCAATTTCCACACAGGTAATACCAAAAGACCTTCTGACTATTTTCATTTTTCGCTTTTGCATATCTTGCTTTTCAAGTGAACTCCCTAGTCGGCAGTTCACACTACCTTTCCCTTGCTGCTGCAATTAGTATATCCATGAGATTTGGTTTGTATCCATTGCACAGTATACGATCTACAGGCAAGAATGTCTTTAACCCACCGGTTCAGGTCAATCGGTCGTTTCGACCACTTTCGGGCTTAAGTGTATTCTTCATTGTAGCCGTTCATAAATGAAACTGATCGACGCATTCGGTATGGTCAATATCATTTCCATCGTTATGAGCCATGGACTTAATAAATGCTAAAGCTCACCATTTGTTGCTACAGTTTGATTCATTAAGTGCATCGATCGAACTATACACATTAAGGAGCTCGGTCAATCCTGATGGTAATAGTTATAATGCCCTTTGGTGATTGGGCTGCCCGGATTCGTCAACGCCCTAGAAACCGTAACCAGTGGTGTCTTAGATGCAACCGACCCAGCAGCAAACAGTGCTAGGAAAGTGCGGCGTGTGACAAACCGGTTCTGGAATTTCGGAGCTAACCTCACCACTTTTCGGTGAGTATTCTTGCACGTCGGTTTTGGGCACTTAGACGAAGCCATTTTATTATTTTACTGTTGAAAGGGTTTGCTTTCCGGGTAAAAATGTGGGGCAGATGCTTCAGTCTCCACGTTTGATCGAATCAAGGTCGTTTGGGTAAAACGACAACGAAAAAGTTCATCATTGTTTCGGTTTATACCAAAAACAAGTTTGCAGTTTACGTAGCGGATGCTAAGTTGAAGGACTGTAGCACCCGAACTGAACTTTGACATTTTGGATAAACATGCTTGCTGCGGCATNCCAGAAACGCATGGGTGTTACAAATAAATCTCATTTTCTTCTGATACCTTCCCGCGAGCAGAGACAACCACATCTTTTTTCGTACCATGTAACATGTTGTTCCCGGTCAGTCCATAAAATAAATACTTTGCAATGAAACCTCCGTAGGACGTGGTCGTCAGTTTTATCTTTGTTGAGTACATAATTCTTTCATTTATTTATTATCCTTTGAATTGCCTTCAAGGTAACTTTGCTGTGGTCAGTTCTTTGCAAATGGGGTTAAACTAGGGTGATACTGCACGATTTAATCACTAGAATCGCCTTGGATGCCCCAAGTTTGATCAGATTATGGATCACACGATAGTACAAAATTTANAAAATTTAGGCACTGTTTTTTCGCTTTAGCTATGCCTTATACTACCATATAATTCCTTGTTCAAAAGATTCATTTGTTATCAAGATTATTGTCACCGTCAACAAAACCCTGATTTTTACCATTTTCGCTAAATGGAGGACTTTTCCAACCCAATTGATTATTCACTACAGAGGTTTAAGTGTGTAGTTTAATTCGGTATCTGAGACAGAGGGTGTAAAACATTTTCTTCAAATAATGCCAGCGAGTAATCTAGAACGGAGCAAAACAAACCGTCTAGTCGTTCTATGGGGTGTGAATATTCCAAATCTTCTAGTGTTGAACTTTCCAACGAGATTCATTTAATAATTCAGATCAAATATATTTTCCCCGTGATTTGAGAGTTAGTCAAACTCCAAAACATGTTCGACCAGAGCTTTGACGAAAATACAAAGTGATCAGATCATTTACTTTGGGTTAAATGATAACTCGTGCATTTGAACATGCTGCATATGATCTCCTTTCCTAACATCACTCTTTCGAAATATATGCCCCCGTACATTGGCAAGTAAATTTCGTTCCTTTTTTGTTCTTGCTTTAGTTTAGGGCAACTTAAAGAAAACGGAATTATCGACGCGTTGAGTAAACGATGGTGGGATCTCAATTCGGTGTGCACTGTGGGTGCCCTAAATTATCGATCGTTGGACTTGCAAGCCCTAGAAGAGTTGTTTATTTTGTTGTCCGCATTCATCGGCATGGCTGTGCTGTTTCTCTGTCTGGAATGGCTGTGGTCCGGTGTGATTTGGGTTCAGATCAAACGAAGACTGGAGAAGAAAGCCGCGAGGCGGGCTCGGCTAGAGAGACGTATGAGACGTGCAAACGCTTCCGAGGGGGAGAAACAACAACAACCGAACGATGACGATGAAGCTATCGACTTAGATGATTCGGAGTCCAGTGGCTTAGAAGATCTGGAATAGTGCGGCATACCTCGTTCCAGTTGACATTCCACATGCTTTTCTCATTTCATGTGATCTACTTTTAGAAACCTGAGAATTTCAAACCTTTGTTTTATAATCTATCGGCACAAACCATAATGGATGTTGATAAGTGTCACGCATATTTTCATTCATCTTTCATTAGTGGAAATTGACAACTTCCTGCTTAGAAGTTGATGGAAGTGCAGATAATGTGTTACTAACAGAACAGTTTTAATTGCATTAGCCATTGGAGTACAAAATTGAAACATATGCAAAAATATACATTATCCCACATACATATACCACTTTGGTTCCTGTCTCCACGGTCACCATGTGCAAGCCAAAACCAAATATTACGTACCATACTTTTCCGTTTCGATGTTTCTTTCGAATGCATTTGGAAAGTACCTGTACGAACATCAAATAAATTATCGAGTCAACTGCACGTTATCCGGCAACTTTGTCTGACTGTTTTTAAAGAAAACAAACATCTATTTGGAGCTTCCCTCTGCACTCGCTTTGATCGGGTTGTATTTTATATCATGTTTTAGAGACGGAGGATGCAATATCACGATGTGCGACAGCGATCCGATCTCGAATTCTCCCGTGCTTCTCGATAACCCAGTATGAACCAGGAAGAACGACCGATTAGTCAAAGTATAGTGTTCCCTGAAAGTTTCGGCGTTCAGCCTGACTAGGCTTGAGAGTATCTAAGAACGAAGACGCTTAACAAGCGAAGGTGAAGCACTGAACTCACGCACCGTTTAAAGTGAAGTTACTTCAACGGAGTGGCAGTGACTTAAACATAGATAAAAGACCTAGCTGAAGAAGCGGTCTCAGATCCTGGCGGAATCTATGTTAGAAAGGAGAAGAATGCACGAGCGAATTCTCCAAGCGACCAATACCTGCAACCATGCGAAAGCATACATTTTCGCTCCCTGTGCTAACGATGTCCACGAATTCACACGTCTAATAAGGGATGAAGTAATGAACCAAAAGAAAACGACTGGTATCACGAAACCTCAACGACGGTTGTTCTGGAATGAGCTGGATAACAGAGAGAGAAGCGTACAGGTGAGTAAGCGTGCGGGAAGTGAAAGTCAACGTACCGTGACCAATGATGTGCAAGAAAACAACAAGGTCAGGAGGATGGAAAAGGTGCCTGAGCGGAAAGGGTTGACACTGTTACTACATATGCAGAACAGGAAGACCAAGGATGGTGACAACTATCGAGCATGTTACACTGTCGATCTCAAGCCACTACATCACCCCACCCCTTTCAGGAAGGGTTTCGTGGGAAGCTATCGACCAGGAGTTAACGGTCAGGGATTTTGGTGTCGAAGCTAGGCAAAAACGAAAGGAAAAACAACTGTATCTCAAGCCAAATCCTAACTATGTATAGCGACACCGGTAACGCTCCAGCTAGAAAAAGATTGGCCATAGTACACAATCGCAAAACTTAAATCAAAATGAAGCGTACAGTTAATGGACATGGACATAGACACAAGCAATCCGTCTAAGCGTCTATGTACAGGCAGTAACACTAAGCAAACGGACTTTATTATTGGGTTAGTATTTTACTTATCACACGCAACTCGATCACGAACAGCTCTTTTTTTGAAGAGGAGCTGAGGCGCTATTTGAGGACAGCCAGATGCGTCGGACAGCGTCGAAAGACCCGTGAGGAAGGTGCCAGACGGCGATGGAGACCCGTAACGCAAGGCATGCTAGGAGGCTCCACACCTTGTCCTCGCCTTAGGTGTCGTGAGTGCGATAAAAAAGGCAGTCCATAATAAAGTTCTGAAAAAGTGTTCATTGCATGTGCCAAGTATTCACTTGGTCCATAGTTAGTATAGTTGACCGAGTGGTTAATCTTCAGAGCAGTGTGTTGAGCTCTGAAAAAGAGCAGACTCGTGAAAACAAGTACAACAAAGAAAACGCTTGAAACAGGTGCGAGATCTGAAGGCACTCGAACATCCACAGAGAATGGCTACCAAAATGGTCAAAGGTTT